GAACAGTATTGTCAACATGCAACACTGGCATAACAATTATGCTCCCACTAGCTTTGACATGTACCCAAAAAATCAACTGAACTTCTAGAAATCAATACTCACGATTTTCTTACTGAAGTATAGATTTATGTTACACGATGTTTCGATACGTCTCCAAATAGACTTCTCAAGCTTATACACCTTAATTGTATATCATATGTGTGTGTTTAAACCCTTTCATAACTTATAACTATAAGTCTTTGAAAGTTCAAACAATTTCTTGTCATTTCTCACAATTTGAAATATGAAGAGGGATGTTGTAATCATATTATGAATTTAAGAATGCAATTCTTACAAGCAATATCCATTCTGATCTTTATCAGATCCTTTAAAATCTACTAGCGAAAGTGTTCCCTCATAATCATTCTCATGAATTAGAGCAAAAACTTTGCCACCTAGATCTTATGGTGCATACGTTCACATCCATATGAATCCATAATTTCCGACATACAATCATAAGACAAGGTTTAGGAAAAAACCAAATTCAAATTTAGCTTTCCTTGCATGGACTGAACTTCTCTTAATCTAAATTTTTTTCCCTCTGGTAGCACAAGGGCCTACCAATGCTTCCATGTTGTTAAGCAGCTCACCCTTATTGATCAGTGTACTTTATCTGACCAACGTGCCTTTGCTTTTGCAGTTAAATGAAAAACATAGAATTCATAAGCATTTCTAACTCAACTAGAAGTGCACAAAAATAAGAATGTGTCAACCAAAAATGATAGGTTATCAACCTCAGGTCGTGTGCTAGTGATAACTAAAAGGTTTATTGTCGTTTGAATCTTGAAATTCTCAAGATCAATATGACTCCCACTAACTTCTTGGCATATGAGTTTTCTCTCAATGAACATTCCTTGATGAGATAAAACAGATATTCAAAAGTTTGTGTGGATTCCCGACAAGAAAAAAACACTTCATAGAATAGGTCTCAGTTAATCCTTGCAGTTGATGAAATAGGTCCACAATCATTTGTAGTGGGTAACGATTCTTCACCGTGAGTTTGTTAAGTTCCCTGTAGTCAATGCACATTTTGTGCGACCCATCCTTCTTCTTAACAAACAAAATCTATTCTCCCTAAGGCGAACTACTTGCTCGAATAAACCCCTTGTCCATCAACTCTTGAAGCTGATTAGACAGCTCATGCATCTCTGGGGGTGCAAGATGATAAGGTGCCTTGCCTACAAGTGCTGCACCAGGAACTAAGTTGATCCTAAATTCTACTTGTCGCTTTGGGGGCGCAATAGGTAGGTCCTCGGGAAACACATCAAGGAATTCACAAAGTACAAGTACTTCTTCAATGGCTTCCTTCTTTTCTTCCTGATTTTCAAAAACATAGGCCAAGAATCCATCACAACCATGTTGTAGGTACTTTATGGCCCTTGCGGTGGAACAAAACGTTGAACTACTTTTGGGATATTCGACCTGGATAGTAGGTTATACCCCACTTAGAGTCCGAGCCCTTACTATCTTCTGCCTACAGTCGATTAGGGCCTTAAAATGGTTTAGCTAATCCATACATACTATTACGTTCATCTCTCGCATAGGAATGAGAATGAGATTTATTGGGAAACTACTGTCGCTGATTCTTAAAGTACAACTACAGTAAACCTTTGATGTTTTAATTATTCGATCATTGGCTATTTCCACTATTAAAGGAGTCTAAATCTCCTATGTCGCTATTAAGGTTCTTGATAAACTTAAGCAATCCGAATGAATGACTTGCTCTAGAATCGAATAGTACTAAGGAATGTATGGAGTTGACTAAAAACGTACCAGCTACGACTTTCGGCAACTATTTGGCTTCTTCTGCTGTGAGCTAAAAGAGTCACCCCTTAGTTAGGAGCATCCGCTCTACCCTGTCTCCCATCGGTTATCCTCCATGTTGCAGGTGTTGGAGCTTGTATTGCACCTGTTGCCTTCAGAAGATGACATTTAACCTTGAATGACCTAGTTAGTTGCAATTGAAATAGATGTTCATGTTCTATTTGTAGTCCCTAGCATAATGCCCTTCTTTGCCAAATTTGTGGTACTCATGTCCTACTCGACAAGAACCATCATGAAATTTTCCAGACTTTTTGCAAGTGCGTCCCTTATGATTTCCAAACCTTGAACCATTGGATTTGAATTTATTCGTTGCTGGCTGAGATGGATCAGGAGTCTGCCTTTTCTCCTTCTTATAGGTCTCCAACTCAAGTTCTCTCCTCCTAGCATGCTCTTTCATCTCTGCTAAAGTCTTAAATCGATTGTTCGATACAAACTCCCTGATGTTAGTCTTGAGCATGGTCAAATACCGTGACATTTTCACTTGTTCCGAGGATGCATACTCGGGGCAGAACAAGGCCCTCTCAGTGAATATCTTGGTGATCTACATCACCGATTTAGTTGTCTGCTTAAGCGATAAGAATTCCTGAACTTTTCAAGAAACTTCTCCCAAGTTACTACGCTTGTTTCCGTAGGCAAGTAGTCCTTCGTGACAAAGTTCCACTAGACTTTCACTCCACGACGGAGGAGATTCTACGCATACCTAAACTTCAGGTTAGCTGAACAAGCACAAGTGTAGAATCATCCTTCTACATTTGAGATCCATCGCATGGCAACAATCAGATCTCTAACACCATCAAACCTTGGGGGCTTGATGTTATTCAACTCTCGATAGGGCATCTCCTCCTCTACAGGCGAAGCTGCAGCAGTGGGTACGGCGACAGCGGTACTAGCAACAGAAACATACTGCTCGTTGAATAGGGCGATTATTGATAGATCTGAAAATCTCTAGAATCATTTCTCACATGGCTGCGAATATCACCGCCTCTATCCAATCATGTATGTCAGTCTCTCTCGGTCCTGCCCCTTTCGATCCAGAACCAGAACCGCTTTCTCTAGTAATCATCACCATGTTGGATATATAAATGGGACTAGATCAATACGAATTTATTGTGTTATCTTGGAATAACATTCAATCCTTTCTAGTTCTTTAGTAACTTTGTGACTTTTCTTGATTTTTGTATGGATCATGTGCTTCCGGTTGATGTGCTTCCGGTAGTACGTGCACATACTACCTTCCACACCTATCCATACTAGATCCAAGAATTTGCCCAATGTTTCTAAGTCACTACTCTCTCCTATCGTTAGGTCTTTTCACACACAGTGTTATAAGGACCTGATTACTATTTTCCTAGATTCTTCTCCTAGGATTCCTTTCGCTTCATCCTATTATCGGATGAGAACTTCTACTAACTTTAACTAGTTATCGGACGAAATACGATTGCATGCCTATAAAATCAAAGTCTATATACTGTAAGTTTAGACACTACAATGATTGGAATCAGACAAGAGCCGCACCATAGCCCCGAATCAAGCAATCTAAAACTATTTAATTCTGGGTGCATGCAACCTAACGTATTTATGAAATAACTAATCAACATCAATATAGGTTCTAAGCAGCAAATAACAAGCAATTCTCTAGGCTATAAGGCATCTTGAGTATCAGACAATTCTAATCTACAATTCCTGAAAAGATCTCTAGCCTACGTACTAGCATGCAGTTCTAACAGATCATATATCGGCATATATAACAATATGGATATTTTGGGAATCACTTTCCTTTTTTAGCTCCGTCCGACTGTTGGCATCACATTCTCTTCCTTTTTGCATAATTTTTTTTATAAAAAGGTTTATTTGATACTCAGATGCTTAGTTTGAGTTTGGATTTACACGAGTGTTCATCCAATTCTCTAAAACCAATGATCTGATACCAACTTATAACGTCCCAGTTTTCAAGGAAAATTTTTCATATTTTTATTTATTTAAAATATAAGTCTTACACACGTTATATTACATATTTAATTATAAAAGAGAGTTTTAGCGGAAGTCTTAAAATATTTTATTAATGCTTTCGATTCATGGACAGTCATGCATGAGCCTTTCCTCGATCCGAAGAATAACCTGAAAACCAATTATTCAACAACTATAAGTCGAAGCTTAGTGAGATCTCCCAAGATATCATATATCACAATACATATACAATGCACACACATAATGGATGAATTTAAGGGGTAGCACCTTTGGCAATTGGCATTAGCAGCAACATCAAAAAAAATATTATATTTTGAATGATTTTAAGGGGTAGCACATGCTACCCCTAGCTCCTAGCTAGTTCTGCCCCTGGATGTGATGTTTTTTACTTGATTTTTTCTATTAATGGATTATTGTTTTTTAGCACATAATTATGTTTTTTTATGATCATAACTTCTAACATTTTTTTGTTGGCTGCACGTAGCTATTTACTAGATATTGCTTAAATTATTGTTAAGGTTTGTTATTATTTATTAAGATTTTTATATATGTAGATTGAGATATTGGTCCATTTACTATCCTCCTACCTTTTGTTTCTACTTTTCTTTCTTCCTATTTAAGATGATGACAAGTGTACGAATTTAACATTTGAATCAAATTTAAAATAAATTTAATGACACTTGTCACCATCTAAAATAGGTAGAAGGATAGTAGAAACAAAAATTAGGATGATATTTAATTTCTCTAATTAAAATTTGATGTCGGTTACTTTTCTTGTATTCAAATAGTTATCTAATACAAGTTTATTTATTTAGATGTTTTATTAAGTGGTGTTGTTTAAATAAAAATTATGTAAATTTCTCATTCCCATCTCCATTCATTTTGGCATTTTTTTTCAATTAAATGAATATTTCCATCAACGTCCATTCTTACCCGTGTTTTTTTTCTAATTAAATTTTATTTGATCGTTAAAAAAATATGTAAATTTATATTTGGACATCAACAGTAAATTACAATTAATTAAAAGTTATGAGAAATTGTCTTTAATTGAAGTTTTATATTTAAAAATGAGCAATAAATTGCCATTAATTTGTTTTTAATTGCATATCACAATTCATAACGATAAATTTCATGCAATCAATTTATAAATTGTCATATCAGAAACCTATCTCTCAGAGCAAAATTGACAGAAAAGATGAATGATTTCTTCAAAATTATGTTTTTCAGCATATTGGTGATCACTACCGGTTATCCCCCTCTCTATATTTCTCATGTTTTTTTATGTTTATTATGATCCTCATATGTTTCATAAACTTATAAAAAATTGACCATAATCTGTTAATGTTTTTGTGTTATTGCAGCCTTAGGAGTTCAATTTGAAAAATCCAAGAAAAATGTGGTCTCTGATAATAGAAACCAACTTCCAAACCCAATTTCAGACACAATTGATAGGGAAAGAAAATGTTTAGTGCAGGAAGAATGTAGTAACTTAACATGTCCACCTCATAGGTTTCCAGAGTGTATTGATTATTATTGTGAATGTGTTATCCGTAGAAGAATCTAACTATCGATAAAAAATCATAATAAAGTACTATTTCTTGTCTGAAATGATGTTAAAATCATTTTAAGTATGTTTCAAAACTAGTAATAGGAGAAACATGAATTATTGTTTAGTTATAACACCCCCAGATGTAAACCTAGTTGAAATAATGAAGAAATAGTACATTTGTTTACTTTATACAAGAATTTGTTGCAAATGTGGAGACAAATTTAGAGTGTTTTATTCGGATTGTATTTTGACATTATAAGGATTTAGATTAATTTTGAGAAAGGTTGGATGGTGTACAAGTCCACAAAGAAAGAAATGAAAAGAAAAAACATAAATTATAAAAACACATCATGTGGAGAATTTAATTAAGCAAAATGAAAAAAACATGGTTGTGACAATTTGATGGTAGATAGAGAGCAAATTCTCATGCTAACTCATGGCTTTGTTTAGTTTTTTAATTATTTATTTGAGTAAATTTTAACCTTTGGTATTAAAGTTAACACTATATGCTTACCTTAGTTGGTTTTATTGATAAATAACCAAATATTTTGTCACTAAAATAGGTTGCAAACACGTAAGTTTGAATCATGAGCTTGTTACTAGAATTTGTATAAGCATACGATGTTATGCTTCTTGACCTTGATATTCTCATTTTTAAGGCCAATTCGGTAACAGTATTTTCAAATTATTAGCTTGCTTTTTACATTTTACTTACTAATTTTGACTTTTGGGTCGTTGGATTTCTTTCAATATTCAAAATTGAGAACTATTTGCTAGCATCTCAAAACCAATATCTCTAACTTTGATCTATTCATTATAACAGTTAAGACAAGCATAATAAGTGTTTTTAAAACATTTGGTTATTTGTGTTGTTTCGAAGTTTAAATTTAGTCTCGTTGACATTAACAAGTCAAACTAAGAAACTACCATTTTATTGTCATAGAACATGTATAATCAAAATCAGAGAAAAGTGATCCAATAGGTTAGGATTGACAATTAATCATGGCTTATCATTTTATAATGGATTTCATTAAAAATATAATTTTCAATTACTATTTGTAACAAATGTGTAGAAACTTATCTTCATTTTTTTTCTATTAATATCGATTATTAATTTCAATTAATAATGAATTATCAATTTAAAATATTTGTAACAGTCACATATTAAAATATCATGCACTAAATATGAAATGGATGGTAATGTGTTTTCTATTTTTTATTGTAACATTGTACTTTCAACTTTTCTTATTAGAACATTGTACTTTGAGATGATTTCTTATTAAGGCGTTGTACTTTAAAAAAAATCTGTTATAACAATGAAGTAATTGAGTTAAAAGGTAGTAGTAGGTTACCCACTAATATAATTGGATAGACTTTTGGAAGTATAATGTCTTACTAAGAAATAAATTGAAATCACAACATTATGATAAGAAGAAATGAAAGTAAAACATTGTGATAAGAAGAAATGAAAGTACAATGATAATTTATTTTTTTTGTAAACCATATAACTATTTCTTTCATTTAGTCTGCTCTCTAAATCATTTTCTTGGAAAATAGATACTTATGATTATTACTTATTTAGTACAAATACTAATGATATTCTTTTAACAAAAAACATATCTGATCTCTTGTAATATACTACCTCCGTCCCACATTAATTGTCAACTTTTTCCTCTTGAAGTCTTTATTCTTCAACTTTGACCTTAAATATTTTTATTTGTGTTATATATTACTTGATGAAACTTATAACAATGAAAAGACATTTAAAACACAATCCATTGATATATTTTGGATCAAGTATTATGTATCAAAAACAAAAATATTTAAGGTCAAAGTTGAAGAATAAAGACTTCAAAAGTCAAAAGTGGAAAATATATATGGGACGAGGGAGTATGAAGCTAATTCTTAAGCAATAAAGTTTTAGTTTCAAAATATTTGTTTGTTGTTTTAATTGTGTATTGCTTGATTGAATCTTTGTAAGGTACTAACAACATGTATTAGAGTGTGGTGTTTAGAGTCTTCAAAACAGATTGTTCAATGGATTCATCAAGCTCCTCAAAATCTTTTCAATCTTACTCCCTCAATAAATGTCCTCCTTTTAGTGAGCCAAATTTTATATGTGGCTCATTAAAACCATGATGGTTCTCCAAACCATGGATGTTTATATGTTTAAGACGTTGATTAAAGGTCGAAATGTTCCTATTAGAACAGTCGTTGAAAATGACCCCCCCCCCCCAGATTGTTTGTGCTCCCTCTTAGCAATGGATAGAAGATGAAAAGAAAGAGTTAATGTTGATGTTAGATCAAGAGTTGTTATTTGTCAGGCACTTCCATATGAAATATATTGTATGGTTGAAATTTGATTATCCGTTAAGGAGATGTTGAACATGAAGAAGATTATGTATGAAGGAACTGAGGAGGTATGGGTCGATAAAACGAACACCTTGATTAGAAAATATAAATACTTCTTTTCACAGAATAACGAATCTCTAACTCATATGTTGATTGTTTCAACTGATTGATTAAATATTTAAGAAATTTCAACATCACAAAGACTAATTATGCTCTTGTTCACAATTTTCTTGACTCTCTTGATGAAAGTTGGGAACATCATGCTAATATTCTCAAGATAATGAGAAGATAAAGAACATGGATCAACAAATTCTTTTTGGAAATATTATGAAGCATGAACATGATAAAGCAAAAGAAATGAAAATGTTAGGGACATGAGAGAGACTCATAGAGACAAGTCACCTGCTCTCATTACAAAAAGTATAAAGTTGGTTGAATAACATACAAATGACGAAGAAGTCAACGATGATGTTGTGGAAGATGAAGAATATAGGAATTAATCTGAAATTAGCTCATTAGATTCATTGATAGTAAAGTAGTTTAATAGCTTCATAAATAATAGAATATTCATGCCATATTAAAGATAATTCAACAATACCCCAAAACTCCTAAAGTTGATTATTCCATTCGTAATGAAAAACCCTAGTATTTTAATCCTAGTAAGTGCTTCAAATGTGGTAATACAAGTCATTTTGCTAGAGACTAGAAGATAATGACTACTGACCAAAAGGAGGAATCTTATAAATAAAAGTATAAAAGGTTGGTTGCTTTACTAAAGAAACAAAATCTTGGGTCGAAGGTTCTTCTTGCTGGAGAAGAACAATATTTTGTTGAGGAAGCATCATCCGATGAAAAAGGGATTGAGAAGAACAACATGTGTCGCATGGAAAAGACTAATGAATCAAGACAAAGTAGTAGCTCCAGTTCGTTCGAAGCTAATTTGGCTCAAGATGCAAATAATAACTCTTCTCTTGAATGGGATCGATCCTCGATTTATCAGGTATCAAAATTTGCAAATTACTTTGATAATGAGAAAACTCTAATGTTTGATTATCTATGTCTCGACCTTAAAAAGTCTCACCATGAAAAAATCAAACTAAAATTAAAACATGACAACATGCTTTGATCTTGTAAAATATTCTTAAACTTTCAAAAATCAAAGCTGATATTGAAAATCAATAGTTACTGAATTAGATATTTGTTAAAGAAAGAAATTTGGTTGTCATTGATTCAGAGAACATCAACAAGATCATAAAAAATTAGACCACTTCTCACACCAGAGTCACAAAAATAACTAATGATTATATTGCATTTCAAGTTGTTAAAATTCTTAGTGATGATTTTAAAGAGGTTGCTAACATATATGAACAAATTGTAGAAGAACCATGTTTCCCTAATTCTCAAGAAATTGTCAAAAACTTTAAGAATAAGTTCGTCAAATCCAATGAATCAAGAGACCGGGACCTTGTCGATAAGCATTAAGAAACTGTAAAAACCCCTAATTCTGAAATCTTAATCAAAAGGAACCAAAGACAAATAAGAGATAATGTGGAAAAAGGAAGTGATATAACTATGGAAACATATGTCATATATCATCAGACTGTCCCTATGAGAAAGGATCAATGAGAGAAGATAACATTAAGTTTAGATATGGAAAATGGATCAAAATGAAAAACTCCTTAAATTGTCTTCCACTGAAGTGTTACAATATTTTTCCTTCAATCAAAAACTTCTTTAAACAAACCCATTTCTAAATGAATTATAAAGAGGAACTACATTTTTTATAATTATGACATCGGTACATAAGCATGTTTGCTATCCTGATAGTGGTTGTTCAAGACATATGACAAGTTCAAAATCTCTACTAGACGATTATGTTAAACAAGATGGTCCATCTGGCACATTTGGTGACAAACATAAATTTCAATCATTGTTAAACGACAATGTAAAACTACCTATGATATCGTCAAAGGAAGAAAGCGTTATATCTCATACTTTCATATTTTTGGTTATTCGTGTTATTTTTAAATCGAAGGGGTCATCTATCCAAGTTTCAATCCAAGGCTGATGGGGGACTCTTTTGTTGGATTAGGTGTCTAAGCCCATAACTATAATTGGTATGCACTTGACCCGAGAGTAGCATGGTCCATTTTGGGTTGTATTCACCAAAGCAATTTGATAGGATGGATATTTGAGAAAGATGTTATTTTTGATTTATTAGTATATTATAAGTATAATATATTAGTTGAGAAATCATATTATTTAATTAGTATTGATCAAGAATTAATTTGGAATTAATTTAGTGATCAAAAGAGACTAATTAAATTAACGGGGACTGATTAAGTAAATCAGTGATACTTATAGTTTGTGCTAATGATCCATGTTGATTATGTGGACTAAATCTTTGTGGATTCCATGAAGATTTAGTCCAAATGGCTTATCATATAGATTGTTGGATTAAAGGCCCAAGGAAGTGGATTAGGGTTTACAAGTTGAAACTCTTGGAATTCTACACTATAAGTGTAACCCCTAAAACCCTAAAATGGACACTTGTGCATTCCAAGAAGATGCTAGCCGTTTTTGGTGGTTAATAGCCTCTCTCTCATTTGTCCTCCTCTTGCTCTTGATGTTTTGTGAACCATTTGAGGCATCACACTTGAGGT